GAACCTTTTCATGATATGCTAATTTTTTTTAGATAGGGATTTTTGATTTTTCTTTACTTTTTTGCCAAAATCATCAATATTAAAACAATAAAAGGGAAAAGGCTTGAACTACTTCAGTTGGTGTGCAATGAATCTAAAATATATGAAAGTTTAATGTTTATCAGTACATTACAGAAAATAATGAACTTTATCACAATATGCTAATCTTTTGAGAAGGACCTGTATATATAAATTATTGGCCAAATCCTCAAACACAATCATGATGAGGATTGAAAGTGACAGGCACTGAAGGGACCTTAGCCACTCTCAGTGCAAATATATGTGCACACCTGAGCCACTCTCATTAACTGTGAAAACAACAAGAGCAACAGTGCAGATGTGATTAAACCATTCATTTCCCAATTTGGTACGGCACAAGACACGTGCACATTTTCATCTCCCAACACTCGTCAACATACATACAAAGCAAAGAAAAGTCCCTTTTTTATGATGGTGTGCATTAGCAAGAGTGACAGGAGTGTTAAGAGAGGCGAGCAGTTACACTAGTCTCCTGAAGTGTGACAAAATGCTTTTAGAGGTTCACAGGTGTCGTATTTTACTGTCTTCATTAAAAAAAGAAGGCCAAACTCAGGTTGACCTTTAGAACTACTGCATCTTCACTAATGATGTGCTACTGATGGATTACAAAGCCCACTTCTGCAGACAGGATGGGAGCAGAGCCTTTAAACGAGAATGTTGTGTGTGGACTCTGCTGCAGTCCCCTTACACCCGAAGGACCAGACCAAATTAAAGCCCTGTTTCTTCAGCTTGCTGATTTCTAATATAATACCTACAGAGATGTCAGGTAAAACCTCCTGGAGATTGAGGGAGAGGGTGGTGGGGGTGCAGTGTGCATATGGATTTGTCAGTCAAGCTGTCAGTCAGACTGATGGGTCATTGTGTTGTGTGACAGCAGGCTGAGAGCTACAACACTTCCATTAGGAAGGAACATCACTCAGAGGACACTACAGCCCCACGTTACTCTATTTACTGGCATGAAGGAAAACAGGAAGTACATATACAACCCTCAGCAACAACAGAACAACACTGACCTCATCGTAAGACACATGCATCTGCAGGAAATGTTCAATCTAAATCACCTCTGCCCTGGGACTGGTTAAACATCTGGCAGTTTTGTTTTAGATGTACAGTGTTTTGCAAAAGTATTCATACCCCTTGAACTTTTCCATATTTTGTCACATTACAACCACAAACATAAATATATTTCACTGGAATTTAATGTGAAAGACCAAAAACTGAAAAGTGCGATGTGCAAAATTATTCAGCCCCCCTGAGTCAATACTTTGTGGAGCCACCTTTTGCTGCAATTACAGCTGCAAGTCTTTTAAGGTATGTCTCCACCAGCTTTGCACATCTAGTGACTGCAATTCTTGCCCATTCCTCCTTGCAAAACAGCTCAAGCTCAGTCAGATTGGATGGAGAGCGTTTGTGAACAGCAGTTTTGAGATCTTGCCACAAATTCTCAATTGGGTTTAGGTCTGGACTTTGACTGGGCCATTCTAACACATGAATATTCTTTTTTTTAAACCACTCCATTGTAGCTTTGGCTTTATGTTTAGGGTCGTTGTCCTGCTGGAAGGTGAACCTCCGCCCCAGTCTCAAATCTTTTGCTGACTCCAACAGGTTTTCTTCCAAGATTGCCCTGTATTTGGCTCCATCCATCTTCCCATCAACTTTGACCAACTTCCCGGTCCCTGCTGAAGAGAAGCACCCCCAGAGCATGATGCTGCCACCACCATATTTGACAGTGGGGATGGTGTTTTCAGAGTGATGTGCAGTGTTCTTTCTCCRCCACACATAGCGTTTTGCATTGTGGCCAAAAAGTTCAATTTTGGTGTCGTCTGACCAAAGCACCTTCTTCCACATGTTTGCTGTGTCCTCAACATGGCTTCTGGCAAACTGCAAACGGGACTTCTTATGGTTTTCTTTTAACAATGGCTTTCTCCTTGCCACTCTTCCATAAAGACCACATTTGTGTAGTGCACGACTAATTGTTGTCCTGTGGACAGTTTCCCCCACCTGAGCTGTGGCTCTCTGCATTTCATCCAGAGTCACCATGGGCCTCTTGGCTGCCTCTCTGATCAGTGTTCTCCTTGTTCGGCCTGTAAGTTTAGGTGGACGGCCTTGTCTTGGCAGGTTTACTGTGGTGCCATACTCTTTCCATTTCCGGATGATGGATTGAACAGTGCTCCGTGAGATGTTCAAAGCTTGGGAAATCTTTTTATAACCTAAGCCTGCTTTAAACTTCTCCAAAACCATATTCCTAACCTGTCTGGTGTGTTCTTTGGACTTCATGATGCTGTTTGCTCCCCAATATTCTCTTAACCAACATCTGAGGCCGTCACGGAGCAGCTGTATTTGTACTGAGATTAGATTACACACAGGTGGACCCTTTTGAGTCATTAGCAGTCATCAGGCAACTACTGAATGCAATTGGTTGCACTCAGGGAAAAGGGGGCTGAATACTTTTGCACGTCGCACTTTTCAGTTTTTTATTTGTAAAAAATGTTTTGATTCATGTAAAATTTTGCTTCCACTTCACAATTGTATACCACTTTGTGTTGGTCTTTCACATTAAATTCCAGTGAAATATATTTATGTTTGTGGTTGTAATGTGACAAAATATGGAAAAGTTCAAGGGGTATGAATACTTTTGCAAACCACTGTACACACATGGACAAAATTGTTGGTACCCTTCGTTTAATGAAAGAAAACATTACAGTGGTCACAGAAACAACTTAAATCTGACAAAATTAATAATTAAAAAAATTCAATGAAAATGAACAAATAAAAGTCAGACATTGCTTTCAAACCATGCTTCATCCTTCAAACCTGAGACAAGTGGAGCAGTTTGCTCATGAGGAGTGGGCCAACATACCTGCTGAGAGCTGCAGAAGTCTCACTGACAGTTACAGGAATCGTTTGATTGCTGTGATTGTCTCAAAATGTTGTGCAACTAAATATTAAGTTAAGGATACCATCATTTCTGTCCAAGCCTGTTTCATGAGTTTTATTTTTATTTGTTTGTAATTCTGTTGAAGCATGGTTGAAAAGCAATGTCTGAATTTCATTAGTTAATTTTAATAGAATTTTTATTTATTATTACTTTTGTCAGATTCAAGTTATTTCTGTGATCATTGAGGGTTTTTCTTTCATGAAACAAGGAGTACCAACAAGTTTGTCCATGTGTGTACATCATTATTTTGATGGCTCATCAGTGGTGGTTCTTTTCTTTTGTGTATTCTAAGGATTTGTCCTAAATTGTAATGTTTGAAATGTATGCAAATGTGTATGATCCTCAAAAAACAATTATAAAAAAGGGAAAAATTTGTTGGTTATCAGACATGTGAAGAACTACTGTTCATACAGAAGTAGACAGGGGGCGACAGAGGCTCAGGAGGTAGGGAGTTTGTCCTGTAACCGGAGGGTTGCCGGTTGCCCTGCTCCGTCCGTATCAGTCATTGTGTCCTTGGGCAAGACTCTTCCCCTGCCTTGCCTACTGACGGTGGACAGAGGGCCTTGGTGGCGCCGATGCATGGCAGCCTAGTGTGCCCCGGCTACATTGTAGCTTACCATCATCAGTGTGAATGTGTGCGTGAATAAGTGAATGATTGTAGTGTAAAACTTCAGAGGCCTTGGACTTGATAAAACACTATATAAGTTCAGGCCATTTATCATTTATTGTGTTTCTTCAAACCCAGCCTGGGCTGTCACTTCTTAGAGCACCTTAAGTGAAGTAAAGTGATGTGTGTTGTCATCACTTCATCCGCACACAACAACAAAATGTATCCTCTGCATTTAACCCATAACACGTGAGATAAACCAGTACAGTAACGAGCAGCTATTTAAGCGCAAAGGGAACAGTTAGGGATTAGGTTTCTTGCTCAAGGACACAGCAACACAAGGGTATGGAGGGGAACCGAACCTGTGAATTTCTAGTCTCAGGACGACTGTCCTACCACTGTGCCACAGTCTGACTCTAAACTTCACTGTTTAAGCAGAACGAGCAAGAGTCTGGATTGGACAAAAATCATCTTGAGGTATGTGGACAGTATTTAAGTTACGGTAGACAGTTTTAGGCTTTTAGTCCCTTTGTCCTATTGGATTTCTACCAAATAAACTTCGTTAAATTATTTTATTTTATTGTAACAAATATTATTTTCCATTCAGCAAACTAGTACAAATAACTAAGTTCAGTGTGAAATGCTTTCCCAAAAGATTAGACTTAGAGCTCCTTATTTGGTCACTTAAAAAAGTCTTGTCCTTGAAGTGGTGACTACGTAAGGACTAAATAAGTTGACAGTTCTTGTAAAAGTGATATAATTAGTAAGATATAGATGTCAGTAGCGCAGGGGTAGGTCAGAGTCAAACTCAGGTTCTCAAGGACCGCTATCCTGCATATTTTCCTTGTTTCTCTGCTCCAACACACCTGATTCAGGGATTCAATTACCTCCAATTCTACAGAAGCCGGGTTAATCATTCATTCATTCAAACCAGGTGTGTTTGAGCAGGGAAACATAAAACATGCTGGATAGCGGCCATCGAGGACCAGAGTTTGCCATGTGTCCTAAAATATCACCAGGTATGCAGTGTACATTTTCTTAGCGTCGACTGGTAAATATGTTTTTATTATTTATAACAGGTAAGAAATAATAAATATACTTTATTAGTGAAAATCATGATTTTTTTTTCAACTAACTAAAAAGTAAGATATTGACTAAGTTCAGGTCTAGTTTAGATCAGTTACTTTTAAATTGTTCTTATATAGATCTAGCTGTTTTGTGTGTTTGTTGAATTAAATTAGCATAATTAACAATTAATTTATAGTAAAAATACAGTTGAACACAGCTCCGTCGATTTATTTATGTCTATGACTCGTACCATTATACAGTGTATGACACAGACACATACACACAGCTATGTGTACACATAACACTAACCTCGTCCAGCTCAGAGATATAGACCGGCTTCTCTTCAAAGCCAATTGGCATGGGTTCATTGGGCGGGATCTCTACTTCTTCATACATCTTGTTGTTTTCCCTGCGGATGTTCTCAGGGAGCAGCATCTGAATGTCACAAAAAAAAACCTTACATACCATACAGATACCCTTGAACATTATTAGGACTAGACAGTATTTTTGGACTTTTTGTGGGAAACGTGTACAAACATTGTTACACTTTTTTCTACAGTTGACAAAACCACTTGACAAAAGTTGGCTGAAAAGCAATCTCTTCTAAAAAGTGTTTCTTAAAAAACATCAAACAAAACAAAATCATTGCATGTTTTTGAAATGAAGCCATGACTTGATGGAAATATTTCCCAGTCTGCCTTTAAAATCAACAGAGTGGCAAATAGCCACTCGTGATGTTAAAAACGTTCATTTCTGGCTGAATTTAAGTAGACACTGCAATTTTTGCTCCAGTGCTGATGACTGGGAACCACTAGAAAAGTCAGTATCTTACTGGGCTTTGACTGTTGGAGACTAGTTGGAGACTCAATACTGCGAGAAAATTGGCCACTTTTCAGTTGCAGTTTCACTGAATTTTAGGTATTTGGATCCAAGCTTGAGTGTTCAAAGACCTCTTTGTATTTTACATTTTGTACATAGCCAGAGTGCTGTAGCTGTGTTTTGCATTGCCTTTTTTTCTGTCATGCACATATTTTGATGCCTACCTCAGCCCACATCAAACCTATTGTGGGCAACTGTGAGCTGGTTGTAGTAGCTGCTGAACCTTTATTTTCTGACTTGGTAATGCAGCTTTAGTCCTCTAATTTTATAAAAAAATAAATTGAGAAAGGTTCACAAAGCTCACAACAACTTTTTGAGAGAAAAAAAATTGTCACGTAAATTATTTGAACATTCTTAAAATATCATGAAGACTAAAAGGCTCTGGAACTACCATGAAATAATTAGGAACCTCTGCAAACGTTTCAAAAAAATTAAGACTTCTTCCCAAATGCAGTTCCTAATTTGTAGCCAACAGTCACAGCCCAGTGAGACTAAAGAAAGGATATCTAATAGCTTGCTGTCTAAATCAGTGACTCCCAACCAGGGGTACGTAAACATTCTGGGAAGTTAATTTTTTTTTTTCATTTAATAATCAGTTGTACATTACAGTTTTGGAGAATCATTATTATGTTTGACTGAGGGGGTACTAGTGATATGACAAAATGGCTCAGGGGGTACACAAGTCTAAAAAGGTTGGGAACCACTGGTCTAAATCGTTTTTTCTTTGATGTATGAGAATAGGATGTGAAAGACATGTTGATCTTCAAAATTCTCACCCTGGCTCCTCCGACGAACGCAGGTGCATTAGTTGCTTCTGCATAGCTGTCAAAGACATTAGGATATCGGATCCTTTCGTACACTCTTTCTCTGGTCAGGATTGGCTCATAGCGAGCATTCAACAGGGCCTGTTCTCTGTAAAAACCCAGAAGACATAGCTCACATTAAGACAAGAAAGCTTAAGTAAATAGTAAAAACCTACAGTGAGACTGGTCACAACAAACACTTTCCCCACGGTCTAACAACCATGTCATCAAGAACAAATGTCTTACATTTCATAACCTCAATACTAGCAAATACTGTAAGTTCAGCAAAGCAGGGACCTATTCCGTTAGCCGGACTAAAACTTTACTAAGAAATTGCGTGTACTATGACGGTGGTTCTGATGTCACTTTGTTAAAACAAGACCTTCTGCATTGATCTCAGATATTTGATATTTTGTTGTTGTTGTTTTTTTTAAATACATTAATTTGACAAATAAAATTACCAAAAAAAAAACCATCTTCCTTCAAGGAGAGGTATTCATAAAAGACAATGGTCTACTAATGAAAACTAAAATATAGAAAAATCCTTATAGGAAAATATTGTTACACCTTATAGGACAAGAGGGTACGATTTCTCTGATGTTGTAAAAAGATAATGCTTATAAGGCAGAACCAACATCCTGCTGCTATTTAGATAGGGAATGTATTTTCAAATACCAAGTAAACTGCATCATAGTGCATGCGTGCCGCCCCCCCCCCCCCCAATGCACGCGCTGAAGTGGGCGGGACTGAAGCGGAAGCTGAGCAGAAGGTGGTCCTTAAAGAGACAGAGGCCAATTTCAAGGCGTTTAGAAGAGGAAGTGATGAGAAGATAAGTTTATTTTCTATTTAAACATAAAAACAGCATTTTAGTAACAACTAAAGGTGACATAGATACTTTACTATGGTATAATATTTAAATATATGCCTGAGAAACATATAATATTGCCCCTTTAAAATGAGTAAGCATTCACACTTTTGTTTTCCTGTTCATAGTTCCTTCGAAGTATTTTTGTACTAACTACTTCAACATTCTTACAGCTATTTCATTCATTCAGTTATCAAGTTGTTCAGGACATTACAGCTGTGACAAATTATTTTGAATTTTTATACTTTTTAAAGTATTCGACGGGCAGCACAGAACTTAAAGCTGGTTTTTCCTCTCCACTGTCACCAATGTGCTGCTCAGGATGGGAGACTGTGACGAAGTGAAGATTCAACACAATCTGCTGGCTTCTTTAGATTTATTGATTCGTGTACAGGGCCCTGAGACAATGTTTTTTGTGACATGGCGCTATATAAATAAGCTGAATTGGATTGAGCTGTAACCTCACAGTGAGGAGGTTGTATGTTTGCTTCTTGGCCTTTTTGTGTGGAGTTTGCATGTTGTTCCTGTTTACATGTGGGTTTTCTCAGGGTATCCCAGTTTCCTTCCACAGACCAAAAACATGCAAGTTAAGTTTACTAGTTACTTTAAATTGTCCCTAGTTGTGGGTGAGAGTGTGAATGGTTGTCATTTGTTTCGATGTGCCCCTCTAATGGACTTGTGACCCGTCCAGGACTGTCTGCCTGTTGAAGTGACTGCTGAAAATACGCAGCGATGCAGTAAGAAAAAAGTGGGTGAGGAAATAGATGGACAGATAACTGGATAAAATTATTTATCTGCACTTACAATTATTTTCTCATAGAAATTGTTAAAATCTCTTCCTTGCAAAATGTTGTGCTCTTTAAATTTTTCAGCAAACTTTTTTCAAATGAGCTTTCAGCTGTTAGCTTTAACCGATTTTGGGAATTGGCCACAATATGCAGCCCTACTCATAATTATGACCCCTGCACGCTAAGCGTAAGTGGGAGTCATATTGTTTTTGCACTGTTTATTTTTGATTTTTCTCCAGAGATTTTTGGTCAACGTAGCACAAAAACGGCTGCACCGGTCAACATGAAATTTGGCAGGACTGTAGATGAGTCCGACCTACACTGCAACAGATAATGGTTTTACGATAGACCCCATTATTGAGAAGTGGGCTCCTTTCAAAGTGGGGGTGTATGGACATGCAAAAATGCTTATAACTCAGAAACTGTTCAACATAGAAGCTTCAGATTTATTTTGTTGTTTAGCTCTAATGAGGGGCTATCCATCAGGTCCCCCCCCCCCCCCCAAAAAAAAAAAGACCCCCACCCAAATCACTACAAATTTGGGATGAACCTAGTAGCATGACATTTATTAGGAATAAAGACTTCTGAGTTCAGGTGCATTTGTGCGTGCGGGGGTCATTATGTTACCGCTATGCGGTATGTAGTTCATTCTGTTCCAACTATCTGTCAAATTTCAGAAATGAAATGTGTAAATTATACACAAAACTGTGGAATTTAATAGTGTGCTATTGAACCTGAACAAAACTAAATAAATTTTCTGAATATAATGAAGTTCAATGGGATTTTGGTAAAACATGAGAAATCCATAGTAATCGAACTCCTTCTTTATGTAGCTGAAAGCTTTGACTTTCAGTTCAACATAGCTGGCTAAACTGGAAATCTCCCTTGGAAGTGTACACACAAAAAAGACAAGATTTGATTAAAATCCTACTTAAAACAATAAAAAATAAATAGTACTTTCCAAAGACCAAAAACAAGAAAGAAAAAAAGCTTTGCCCAGAGTCATATCTCCAACCTTTTACCACAGAGTGTAACCCATCACAACTATTAATATTTAAAAAATAAATCGTCATATTGATGGATGATTCATATGAGGAGGCAGATGTGAGACATTATGTTTCTCCCTAAAGTGGCTTACCTCTCCACTAATCTTTTCCTTCACACTACACTGGATTTCACCATGCTAAGTTTTTAATTAAACAGATCGCTGCTTTTTTCCATCTCCTGAAATTAAATTTTCAGAGGAATCTTTCACACACAAAAAAGATGTGTGACAAGCTGCAGAGATACAGGGTTACTTTTTGTTTGTTTGGGGGTTTTTTAAGCATCATGAAAAATGCAGAAGCTTAGTGTGTTTGTTGCTGATATCTTCGATAACAGACAGAGATGGACAGCCAGGGAACAAAGACAAATATCACAAAAAAAGAAAGAAAGAAAGAAAAAAATAGTGAAGGTGATATACCGATGGGCTCTCATTTCTCTTGGGTCAAAGGTCATGGCAGCATCCGAGTTGTCGGCATCATCTGTTCCTTTGACTCTCTTTTTTTCTTTTTTTTCTTCTCGTCGATACATCTTCATCATTTGTTTCTCCTTTTCTGACTGAATGGTCACCTGGCACCCATAAGCAGGCTTGTTCACTTCACCACTGACTTTTCTGCCAACATCTGGAGGACACAAAACAAAAATGGTAGGACAGTGGACTAACTAAAGGTTTTTTAAAAATGCACTTAAAACAGAATCCTGTACAAATTAAAACAGTTGACAGAAGATTTCTCTGTGAAAAATTCAGAAGTCAAACTTTCTGATATTTTTGCTTATCTGTCTTTTGTTGCTATATCATACTGATACTCGGTTGAAAGAAAATAACATGTCACTTTTTTGGACATCCGATACTCAAACACTGTGTGACTTCAAACAACAGCCGGTTGCACCGTTATTGACCATGTTGAAAAATGTTGTTGCATAATTGTAATAATTTTAAGCATCACATCCATGATTTACAGTAATAATTAAAGCTACATAACAGTGACCTAACAATAACATTGCTATGTTAATACCTTGACTTCAGTGCCACTATTTGATGTACAACTGCAGTCAAGTGAGTCATCACTTAGAAAAGTCTGTACATTATTTTCACTGGAAACAGTTGGAATCACCTTCAATTTAAATCCATTGAAACTTGTTGCAGTCAATTAAATAAATCCAAATTATGAATGGTAAATAAACGTTAAAAGTAAATACTTTTTTAACTGTTCAGAAACAATAAAAACAACTGAATTAAGTAGGGACAGAGTGATCTGAAACTTTTCACTTTTAAAACAGGTTGGATAAAATAAAATAATTTATGTGCGTTTTGTAAAAATAAAAACAATGCACATGAACATTAATTAATGTCAGATATAAATCATCAACCAGAGCAATATACTTAAAGTAGAGAAAATAAACAAACTAAAGTATTGATTACATTATGGTCGTTTTGATGAGATATGATTCGGCAGTTGGCATTAGTATTATCAAAATTTGGATCAATCTCCATACACCTAACGTGGGCTATATTTTAAAAAACTGAGGCATTAAGCCTGATGCAGATTTTCTCGAAGAGCACATATCCCAAAAGAAAAAACAAAACTGCTTGTATCCACTGCAGAACATAACATGTCGGCCACAGTCAGTAAAATTTGAATCAATTTTTATAATTACTAATCAGAGCTGAGTGATGTTCAGTGAATATGGAAGTGGCACTGCATGGGTTAAAGCTCCCTGCAGCAGCCTCCCTGTTTGAGACACAACAGCTCAATAAAAGGTAGAACAGCTCTTGAAAACAGATGAGATCTGATGATTGCACCGTGGCTTGGGCTGATTGAATGATTTCTTCTTTATCTCGACTGGAGGTTCTACCTGCTGTACAGCCACTGATCGCTTCAACAGCTCCCCTCTTCCTGTCACTCTTACCATCCCTCCCATTACCTCTCCGACTCCCAATCCCTTTAACTCTGTCACCCTCTATGCACCAATTCCTCTGTCTAAACCAATTTCCATTCTTTGCCACTCTCTTACTGGCTGCTAATGTGCCTTCTTTTGTGGCTGTTACAGAGATTGCCTCCAAATGTGCAGAATTCACATTTCCACAAGTGATCATGGTGGTATAATAGCAGTGAAGAACACCAGCAGAATAGATAGGGTTTGTTTATAAGTTGATTTCAAGCTCTTTTCACATACTGGAAACTGTATACAATATTTAAAAGAAAGAAATAAAACCATCTGAAATTTTAGTCTAATATTTCAGTCAATGAACTGTGCCATTATGTGAATGTTGATTCAGCATTTATACTGTTGTTTTCCTGTTTTGTTTTGTTTGTTTTATCATGTATTTTTGAATTTGCACATCAAGCATAACTTCTGCATACCTTGTGCTATTTCAGCATTCATAAATTAAGACAACACCCATGCACACAATCTTGGTGTCACGTCTTTTAAGCATGAAATAAACTACAGCTGGAAGAATAAATATTGGAACACAGCAGCAAGATAAGAACTATATCAATCATTTGTTTTATTTAGAATATGATAACAGCATAAAGTAACTGCCATAATTGAACATACCTAAGCAGGAAATGCAAGATACACATTTTTTGTAGCAATAGTAATTTTGACGTGTTCAAAAAGGAGTAGGAAGAAGTGAAACTTATTGATTTATGTATTTACATACATTGACTTATTGTATTTACATAAATCAATAAGTCAACATTTGAAAAATATATCTGAGGTGCATTTTTATTTTTCAATAAGGACAAATTCCCATTCATTTAAAAGAGGAGAACAGGACGTAAAACTTGTACTGGAACCAACAGAGGAAGTTGGTCTTGTTCTGGGTTCAACTCCTGAGTTCCGGTCAGGGGTCTGGATATAAATAGTGTTTTGGGACCCCATGATTATGTGTGGGGAGTAGATGGGACTTTAAAGCCCTTCATCACTATCCAAGCTCTGGTTTCAAATTCACAACTCCTGCAAGCTGAGTCCTGCTGGCTTCACTTCCAATTAACGTAAGTAGGCGTGGACTCTTCTAGTAGTTTAATACAGCTTCATGGGATAGACAGTAGGCTATACTTTGATAACCAGAAAAAAATATATCAAAAAAGTCCTCTTCAGGATAAACTTCTTTTGCTTCTGAAATAAACCCCAAGAAAATGTTACCTCTCCAGATGACCAACACGTGTAATCAGTTCAAATAATAATACAGCATCTGATTATTTTGAGGATCCCATGACAACTGTTCATGTCTTAAAGCATTGCCTCTATAAGCCACAGAATTGTGGAGAAGTGCCACCAAGAGCATCTGTTTTCTTGTAAACATGCAAGAACCAAAATATGAACTCCAATTTAAAAGCTAATCAGCAAGAGACAGACATTCCCACTAAATCCCAATCTTCCTTGTGCCATGCACGTAGAAAAAAAATGTAATCAGCCTTTTTTTAACCCCTCGTGACTTCACTCTCAGTCGTCAAGGCAACACTAATCTGAAAAGCTGTCTGGCAAGTGAAATTTTAACACTGATCAGGGTTCTTTACAATGAATACCACAGTTTGAGTTTTCAAGTACCCATAAGTTTGAGCATCCATGAATCATGTTCTTTAGTCTGATGTGCAGTGAAGTTGTATTTTTGTTTTGCAAATGCCTGTCTACTGTCTATGATCCATAAAATATGTTCTTTTGGAAACCATCAGGATCATCAGTGCTTAAGTGGGACACATTTCTTTATTATTCTTCCTGACTAGGCCACTATCTATAAGTAATCAAAAAAGTACTAAAATGCAGATCATCAGGTTCAACCCAAAGCTTAAAGAGGAGCTAGACATCTGGAAAAAGCACAAGCTGATATGTCTGTTGAATTGGTTGTGTAAATTTTGTGTACTCCCATGTGTCGTTACAAACTCTTTCCCTTACTTGTGTCTTCTTCAAAGAATTTGACAGAAATACAACAAAAAACAAGCAATGCCTCAAACCAAAAGGCAAGACTGGAGAAAAAGTAAAACTGATCAACTACCAAAATCCAAAATAACGTTTGCGAATTGCCAGGGCATACAAGGTATTCAGTGAAAACCATAAGTAGACCCCCCAGAAGATGTTAACCACTTTTAAAGGGTTAAACCACTTTTATAGAATACATTAAAATTGCCATGGATATATTCTGACAGTGTAACATAAGCTTATTGCTGGGTTATTATATAGTCCACACTTTATATAGCATCATTTTACCCTCTCCAGGTTCTGCAAAGCACTTTACAGAGTATTTTATTCACAATGTATGCCTTAGTTCAAGCTCAAGAAGATTGCCGGTGTGCTGCAGGTGTGCTGATGGAGGAGAAACAACCTAACTGCACACTCATATTTGCTCACTATACATCCATCCATCCTCAATACCAGCTTTTCCCTTTCAGGGTCACAGGGGTCACTCATGCCCATATCCAGGAGTCACGTTGCAATAGGTGGAATACACCCTGGACAGGGACACTATAGACAGCACTTTTATATATATGTTTTAATATTTTCATACACCAATACGCATATGGGTGGGCTATGTATAAAGTTTCTTGCCAAAGGACAGTTTGGCACACTTCAGGGACAGGTGATTGAACCTAACCCTCTGGTCAGAGGATGACTACAGGGCCAAGCTTTCTGTAAGAATACACAGTGGAATAGTTCTGGGTTGGAAAAAAATGCATCAATCAAACTTTTTGTGTACAGTCTCTGGGCAGAATTTCTTGCACACAAAGTATTCAGTATTTGGATCCAAACCCCCAGACATCATGACAAAATAGTTTAATTTGGATATACAGTTTAATCAGCCAAGCAGATTTACAGAGGGTGTTTTCTTTGCCTTTATTTGTCTATCCATTTGTCATTCCTCCATCAATCTAAGTATTTATCAATCTATCCAGTCCTACATCCATTTATTAATCCATCTATCTCTCTGTCCATCTATTCATCCATCCCTCTGTCCATCTGTCTGTCTATCCATCAAAACCTGTGCATAGATCCTAGTATTAATTTAATACTTCATATTCTGTAACACCATTTTCTAAAATCGTGTTGCTGTGAATCTTAAAGGACACCAGTGAAAAACGTTGAAGGACAACAGGTCAGGACTAAAACTGGTTGCAGGGATTATTGTGACAAAGAGGAAGCTTTCTCCTCTCTAATCTTCAGACACTCTGATGCCTACCTTGCATATGAATCAGCAGACAGCTATGGCAATGATAAATTAGCTATTCTTATCTTTTCACTAATATCGTCAACTATTCACAGCATCACTTGGCAAGTCAAGGAGAAGCAAACAAAAAAGAGGAACCTGACCACTAAAAATGAAGAAAAATGAGGTCATGGGGCAAACCTCAATCAGAATACAAGACACCACTGAAAACAGAAATGTATGGAAGCATGTACTTGTAAAAATCATTTACCAGCCAACAGTTTCAGAAAATTAGTAATGTCTAATCATCAAAAGCATTTACCTTTTTGGGACCCAACATTATACACAAAGTTTTTTTAACCAGTATCTTAGTTTGGTGTGGAATTTGGTGTTATTTCTTTCTTAAAAGCCTAGAATTAAGGTTGTCACAAAACTAAACTTTTTAACTTGATACCAAGGAAAATAGTCAATACCATTTTCAGTGTTTCCATCTCAAGAACCAACAAACAGGTAGTTAGAAAAAAAATCACCTCTAACCCATCACACCTTGACAGTTGACAATACTTTTAAGGCCTCCGTATATTCCACTTTGGCTGTGGTATACAGTGGTTTGCAAAAGTATTCATACCCCTTGAACTTTTCCATATTTTGTCACATTACAACCACAAACATAAATATATTTCACTGGA